GTGTGTGTGTGTGTGTGTGTGTGTGTGTGTCTTGAGGGCTGAAAGAGTTTCCTCCCACGCAGGGTAAAATTAATTGCCGTCCCCTCCAGACACCAACACACAGATTAATCACCGCACACCTTCACAAACACCGTACTGCCGACACACACACACACACACACCCCTCACAACCCAAGGTCTTTATCACACACAAGCACACGAGCATGAGGTGAGAAAGCAGCGATGGCTAACAGAGTGAGGGTCAACGCCAACAACAGCCTGAGAGCCTCTATCTGTCCTTCATCACACACCCTGAGAGACAATTACTGGAGAGAGCGAGAAAACCGGTCAGTAATTGATCTCAGAGAGATGGGCTGCTGATTTGGGGTGAATATTTGAGGAACAAACTGGAGCTCCAGAGACATCCAGACGAGAAACAGTCCGTCTAATGAAGTTATCTATAGACTAACAAGGAGAGACACATCCAACTGATATAACGATAGATAGATAGATAGATAGATAGATAGATAGATGGCCAATTACAACAGATTTACACAATAGGGTCTTCAAAAGAACACACACACACACTCATATCCCATCTGCCATTGCAGCTGCTATTTGTTGCATTATTTTTATGTGCATGGTGTGTGTATCTGAAATTAATTTTACTCCCTCTTTTTTAAACAAAACTACCAATACACTGGAGAGGTCTGAGTTAACGAAGTATTTTGCGGTAAATAAAAGCTGCATGTTTACCCAGAAGCCCCACTCATTTGCAGATGGAGTATGTATGTATATCTATGAGCACACATGTCGTTTCCCACAATCCCCTGCAGCTTCCCCTCATCACTCCAGCTTTATATCAGCCCTGACTGAAAAGAGCAGGTGTTTCTACTTGTTCAGGTTAAAAATCCTCCCACACACTGTCCAAACCGCCTATAAGACTTCAGAACTGAGATGAGACACATAGAGCTCAGAAAACTCCTCTCACAGACTCATCAGCGCTCACAAGCACAGTAGATGGGACACCTGTCTCCAAAAGACCTCAACCTACCAACAACATCTAATGTCATCTCTATAAGCCCCACCCTCAGATTTACAGCAGTCACTGTAAGCCACTGTAAGCCCCACCCTCTAATTTACACCATTCACTGTAAGGCCTACCTTCAAATATAAACCAGTCACTGTAAGAACTGCCTTCAAACTTACACCAGTCACTGTAAGCCCCGCCCTAAATATACACCATTCCCTGTAAGCCCCGCCCTAAAATATACTCCAGTCACTGTAAGCCAGTGTAAGCCCCTCCCTCTAATATACACCATTCATTGTAAGCCCCACCTTCAAATATAAACCAGTCAATGTAAGCCAAGCTCTAAAATTTACACCTTTCATTGTAAGCCCCGCCTTCAAATTTACACCAGTCACTGTAAGCCCCGCCCTAAAATATACCTCAGCCCGTCCCTTCAGGCCCCACCTCCATGGAGTGCCACACCCCCCATCTGTTAGCCCCACCCCTTCAGTCCCCAGGCATGGTTCTTACTATGTGAAGCTCCAGATAGTCTCCGAGACCCTTGGCGCTCTCCACTCGCACCAGAATGGCCTCCTTCAGCTGAGTGCTGAAGCCCACAGCCAGCCGGTCTGCCCGCGTGCTCGGCCGGTCGTTCGGGGGCCACGTGTACGTGATGAGGGCTCCTCCACGGCCGAAGATGTAGGTAGTCCCAGCTGAAACAGACAGACAGAGACACAAACACACAATCAGTGACAGAATGTTTCAGAGAGCATCATTCTAGCAGCCAAGACTGAAAGAGCAGCCGCCGTGTTGACGCTCATGACTGATTGTGTTCAAGAGACTTTCCAAACGTTTGGCTCTGCGGGTCTGAGATCAAGTGACAATCAGCACCTGTGAATGGAGGCCTAATGGACCTTCATCAGAGCTGAAGCCTGACTTCATACGACTCGAGCTCTCCAGTGAGCCAACGAAGCACTGAAAATACATCTCTGACAAACAAACACGCTCCGTAGAGATTAAACGATTCCTCATGATGATAATTAATAACAACTTTAATTAATACATGCTGTTGACAAAAAAGAAAAACGTAGATAGAGATTTTACTGTATTTTTGATCAAATAAATGCAGCCTTGGTGAGCAGTAGAGGTGTGACAAAATATCGATATTGAAATATATCGTTGTCCTCCTCTGTGCGATATGAGAATCGATACGCTGGCGCCAAATATTGATATTTTAATTAATAAAATAAGGTGCTCTAAATAGATTTCCCTGCTCCCAGTGTCTTTACTTCATGGCTCCTCGAGGTGGCGCTCAACACATGAATGAGGGAAACGTGAATGTAAATTAACTACGTTTTTAACGGGATGGTGGACAGCAGTGAGGAAAATAACAGATGCCCCAGCCACGTTTAAGTCCAAAGTCTGGAGCCACCTCGGCTTTTATACCATTGATGGGACAAACAAAATCGAAAAAGAGTAGGCGATATGCAAGAACTGCCTGGTGAAAGCACACTCACTGAGAAAGCGGCTAAAGCTAACGTTGCAAGTAGGGGTGTGCACTATCATGATTTTTGATCGTGGACGATTAAAATGTCTCCATGATCTGCTTTTGAAGGAATATGGTAGTATCGCTACAGCAGAGTATCAGTTCTGGCGTCTTCGTCTCAATATACTGAACAACGACACACACATTCACATCAGATGTTACTCAGCGGTAGAGTCACACTCACCGACACTGCACTTATTCACAATCACAAACACTACATTATTTCATCTGCTTTAAAGTCTTTCGGTTAAACGTTTCATTCTCGTGCTGTTCTGACATGTGCTTTTTCTGACCGAGTACACCTGAAGCGCACACACTAAAAACCCTGTCAAACAGCGGCTGATTACTGGACTGAGTTATCCTTCACGTCTTATTGCACTAATACTGTCAAAAACACTCAAGATTAGTTATGTCTAAAGTGAAAGTAAACAGTTGAGAGAGAAACGGATGCACGCCTGTATATTAGATGAGTGCAGCTCTTAAAGTGACAGCAGCCTAATAGCACTAATGCTGCTGCTTGTCATTAAAGGGACAGTTCACCCAAAATTAAAATTCTTATTTACTCACTCTCATGTTGTCCCAAACCTGCATTAATTTCTTTCTTGTGCTAGACACAAAAGAAGATATTTTGAAGAATATTGGAAACCAAACAGTTTCTGGTCCCCATTGACTTTGATAGTAGGAAAAAAAATACTATGGAAGTCACTGGGGACCAGCAACTGTTTGGTTCCCCACATCCTTCAAAATAATTTTTATATTCAACAGAAGAAAGAAACTCATTGAGGTTTAAAACAGCTTGAGAGAGAGTAAATGATGATAGGTTTTCATTTTTGCAGATGTTTTGCAGGATTTTCAGAAGTTTGGTCTTGAATAAAGAGAGAAAACATGCACTTAACCTTTTCACGGGCATTTTGTTTTCATAGACAGATATCGTGATGTATCATTATAGGATTGTCACAGAATTGCAGTATTGTGATATTATCGGTATTGTGAGCCATGCATCGTGTATCGTATCGTGAGGTACCCACCCCAAGTAAGCAGAAATCATCAAAAACTGTGTAAAAATGAACACTGATTAACTATTTCTGCAGTTACGTTTACATTAATGCATTTGGCTGATGCTTTTATTCAAGGTGCATTGCAGTGCATTTAAGGTGTATATTTATTTTATGAATTCATGCATTCCCTGGGAATCAAACCCATGACCGTGGTGTCGCGATTCTCCAGTGTTACAGGAAAAGCAGCTACAGGAAAGCAATTAACACACGTTCTGACCAGTAACCCGTCTAACACTGACCAAATCCTTCTGAAAATCAGAGCACGTGAAGATGAGAAGCGGTTGAGAATGACAGTGGGTTTAAGTGCTTTGAAGAGCTTAACCTGGAAGAATGAAAAGCACAAATTAAAAGGCAGAAATAAAATGAAGCGTCGCCAGCAGGATTTCTAAAGCGCCTCGTGCATGGCGTTCGGACGGATTCTCTCAACACATGAATGAGGGAAACGTGAATGTAAATTAACTACGTTTTTAACGGGATGGTGGACAGCAGTGAGGAAAATAACAGATGCCCCAGCCACGTTTAAGTCCAAAGTCTGGAGCCACCTCGGCTTTTATACCATTGATGGGACAAACAAAATCGAAAAAGAGTAGGCGATATGCAAGAACTGCCTGGTGAAAGCACACTCACTGAGAAAGCGGCTAAAGCTAACGTTGCAAGTAGGGGTGTGCACTATCATGATTTTTGATCGTGGACGATTAAAATGTCTCCATGATCTGCTTTTGAAGGAATATGGTAGTATCGCTACAGCAGAGTATCAGTTCTGGCGTCTTCGTCTCAATATACTGAACAACGACACACACATTCACATCAGATGTTACTCAGCGGTAGAGTCACACTCACCGACACTGCACTTATTCACAATCACAAACACTACATTATTTCATCTGCTTTAAAGTCTTTCGGTTAAACGTTTCATTCTCGTGCTGTTCTGACATGTGCTTTTTCTGACCGAGTACACCTGAAGCGCACACACTAAAAACCCTGTCAAACAGCGGCTGATTACTGGACTGAGTTATCCTTCACGTCTTATTGCACTAATACTGTCAAAAACACTCAAGATTAGTTATGTCTAAAGTGAAAGTAAACAGTTGAGAGAGAAACGGATGCACGCCTGTATATTAGATGAGTGCAGCTCTTAAAGTGACAGCAGCCTAATAGCACTAATGCTGCTGCTTGTCATTAAAGGGACAGTTCACCCAAAATTAAAATTCTTATTTACTCACTCTCATGTTGTCCCAAACCTGCATTAATTTCTTTCTTGTGCTAGACACAAAAGAAGATATTTTGAAGAATATTGGAAACCAAACAGTTTCTGGTCCCCATTGACTTTGATAGTAGGAAAAAAAATACTATGGAAGTCACTGGGGACCAGCAACTGTTTGGTTCCCCACATCCTTCAAAATAATTTTTATATTCAACAGAAGAAAGAAACTCATTGAGGTTTAAAACAGCTTGAGAGAGAGTAAATGATGATAGGTTTTCATTTTTGCAGATGTTTTGCAGGATTTTCAGAAGTTTGGTCTTGAATAAAGAGAGAAAACATGCACTTAACCTTTTCACGGGCATTTTGTTTTCATAGACAGATATCGTGATGTATCATTATAGGATTGTCACAGAATTGCAGTATTGTGATATTATCGGTATTGTGAGCCATGCATCGTGTATCGTATCGTGAGGTACCCACCCCAAGTAAGCAGAAATCATCAAAAACTGTGTAAAAATGAACACTGATTAACTATTTCTGCAGTTACGTTTACATTAATGCATTTGGCTGATGCTTTTATTCAAGGTGCATTGCAGTGCATTTAAGGTGTATATTTATTTTATGAATTCATGCATTCCCTGGGAATCAAACCCATGACCGTGGTGTCGCGATTCTCCAGTGTTACAGGAAAAGCAGCTACAGGAAAGCAATTAACACACGTTCTGACCAGTAACCCGTCTAACACTGACCAAATCCTTCTGAAAATCAGAGCACGTGAAGATGAGAAGCGGTTGAGAATGACAGTGGGTTTAAGTGCTTTGAAGAGCTTAACCTGGAAGAATGAAAAGCACAAATTAAAAGGCAGAAATAAAATGAAGCGTCGCCAGCAGGATTTCTAAAGCGCCTCGTGCATGGCGTTCGGACGGATTCTTTAATATGACATTGCAACATGCACTCGTCTCACTGAACGTGACGTCTGCGTCTGCAGAACGTGACGTCTGCGTCTGCCACATTACTGTTCGTCTGCCTGAACGTGACGTCTGTGTTTGCTGCAAGGGTTTCCAGCACATTCCATACACTTATTTGTGCTTTATTATACCTATTCATTCTCTATTATTGTTTTCACTTATCCTCAATTATGTTTAATTAGCAATTAAGTGCTTTTTACCTTTCTTATGTATAGCTTTTTATTCCAAACGTAAATATTTATACAAATGATATAAAAACTTCTGTATGACATTGCTTCTTGTCCACATATCCACAGATACTTATGAAGAAATCATAAAAATAAGTTGTTCTAGCATGTATTCACCACTAGGAGTCTCTAGACCAACACAAAAGAACGCATTTTTAAACATTGCTATATTTTGGGCTAATTTAACTAACATAAACAATATTTGTAATTTTTTATTTTGGAGTTGTAATATTTAGTTTTATAGTTTAATATATAGAATAAAAAGTGTTTTTACGCTCTTTAATTTGTACTGAGATAATTCGGCAGTAGTGGCATATGAATCAATGATATTTTCCTCTTTAATATTTGCAGCAAGAAATAAACATGAATATTTGAATGCATGTTAAAAAAATCTGAACAATTTAATACAAACGAATGTCTCATGAAATCGATCAATCAGAGTTTCAAAAAACGTGGCACTAATGCCGCTGTAGGCTCTTTGTACTGAATGCAAACACAATTTTGACACAGCGGCCAAAAAAACAAACAAACAACAACAAAAAAAGTAAAAAATAAAAATAATAATAAAAAATAGTGAGGGGATATTTGAATTATTTGCACATCATCTAGCCACTTGTGCTCATCATTACAGCAATTAGTCGTATTTTAAACAAGTAGAAAATGCTTCGGTACAATTGATTATGTACAGTTGTCTGCTGTTTCCTACATTA